AGAAGGCTTTAGGTTTCCACAAAAAGTCCCCAAATTAAACACTGTCTGATACTGTAGCTAAAAGATTGACCTAGCAATTAAATGTTGTACATCACTGGATGTCTGTCCAACATCCCACTTGTAATATGCCAGCCTTGAAACTTTTGCTTTAATCTGGTGTTGGGGAGTTTATCCTGTTCCAGCATCCTGTTGGCTACAACCCCGGACTGGTTGAGTTTACATGAATTGATCACTCACATTTTCAAAAAGAAGAAAGACAATAAATCAGATGTTTGACATTAAGAAAACTTTATTTTTATCATCAAGAAGGAAAAACGCTGTGCTTCAGACACTGAAGGATCATTTCATTCAAATCAGACATGTTAGCATCACATGTACATCAGCTGTCAACTTCAAATGTGCCAGTAGCTGCATTTCTATTGGTCAGAAAATTAAGCAAATTGTAATTGTGAAACAAATTTGCTTAATGGAAACATGCCAATTTAGAAAAAAGAACATTTTTTAGAGAAAAGGCTTTTGTGCCAGGATAAAGTGGGTTTTCAGCAGTATCAAAATTGGTGAATTTTGCAAAACTGCAATAGAAACTCTTAAAATGATTCAAACAGTAAATTTATAAAACTGACAAGTTAATACAAAAACATGATAAAAACAGCAACACAATTTCTATACTAGTATAACCAACAAAACAAACAATGTCATACAGATGTTCTGCTTTTATCAATTTCAGGTGAGTTCAATACATGATGTGTTCAGGTGAATTTAGTTTATGATGCAGTAAGTTGACTTTAGATCATGATGTGTTCAGGTGAGTTTAGTTTATGATGCAGTAAGTTGACTTTAGATCATGATGTGTTCAGGTGAGTTTAGCTCAAGATGCATTCAGGTGACTATACAGTGCCTTGCAAAAGTATTCACCCCCTTGGCATTTTTTGTGTTTTGCTACCTCACAACCTGGAATTTAAATGGTTTATTTTAGAGTTTGCATCATTTCATTTACAGAACATGCCTGCAACTTTGAACATTTCATTTTCTTTTTATTGGAAAGCAAACAATTAATGGGAAAAAACTGAAAACTTTAGAGTGCATAACTATTCACCCCCTAACTTTAGTACTTATTGTAGCTGAGGATCAACAGATTAATACAAAGCTGGTGTAYGTATTGCACTCGCCACTGGGTGTCGATCAGGACATAAACGGGAGATGGAATTTCCTTTAATCATTAATGAGCAGATAGAGCAGCTGAACAGCCACATAGAAACTGGATGACTTTGGTGACAGAGATGTAGACTAAATCACAGAAAATAAGCCCATTTTAATTCACCTCACCTAGTAAATATTGAACAGGTAACAAGTTGCAGCAGTGACACCTGCTGGCCATAAACTGACTTCACTTGCTTATTTACTACCAAAACACATATTCGAAGATATTTACTCAAGTAAACAAATTAGAAGTCATATTAGACAGGCACATCAAACGAAAAATGATTACTAATAATACCAAGTGAACACAGCAGTAAATAACCACAACACTTCACTAATTATACAGCACATGGTTGTGGGCTAAAGCTAGCAAGGTGCAGCATGCTAATGACAGTCTAATAAGTATATTGCCACACAACATGAGATGAAACTATACTAATACAGTGAACAAGTAAAGAATTACAGTGAGTCATTAACACAGATCAACTACAAAGAGAAATGTCAGCACCAGCTGCATCCACTTCCTGAGAAACGTTCCTCTGCTGCCTTTTAAAGTGCTGACAATCTCACCAACGGTGGCACGCTCCATGTAGATTCAAATCAACAACAAACTGTGGTCTCATGAAATGTTAATGTCCAGCAACAAGCATGAGCCTTTCTAAGTCTCATACTGTAGAGTACAGCTGGTGGCACTCCGGGGATCATCAATGCAGTACGAATGACCATGACCTTTGACATGACCTTTTGACCACCACTGGTCATATCTCCTAACTGAACTTTGTTCTGAAAAAGATTTTTTCTAGAGTCAAACTCTATATTAGCTTTCAGTTTATCTGTCCTCATCTGCAGATAATGCTGACACGACAACGTGTTTTAATCTTTAGTGATTCATATTAAAAAGAAAATAATTCACTTGATTTTACTTTGTAAAAATATTTCTGTTTCAAGTGTGTATGATTATACTGTGATCTGAAGATGATTTCTGAACTGCCATTCATTTTCACAAACATTAATGTAACTGATTGTTCTTTATCTCTCGTAGCAGATGAGAAGACTACAACAGCTACATGTCTGACATACGTCAACTTGTACAAATTGTCTGTAAGTTATAAGGATTTTACATCATTTTGCAGATATACAGACGTATAGAGCAATCTCATGGATTTTTTTCAAAACCTCATTTTCAAATTTATCAAACATGTCAGAGCCTGTAGGATGATTAAAAAAAACAATCAATAACATCAAACAGCCATCTTCCAACCTGTTCTACCACTAGAAATAGGTTTTGAACTTTTTCCACTCTCCTTTCCTCCTGCTTCGCAGCATGTGCTTTCATGTCCACAGCCCACCCCCCACCCACCCGCAGGTGTGAGTATGGCTTTTTGAGGCTCTTTGGACAGGTAAATGTCTGAAGATGTATGTGTCTGACCACAATGTCACTCTGTCCAGTAAACATATTTCTCCCAGAAAGAAATATTTTGACTTCTAACAGAGACCTGGGTATCTAATGTTTTGTCTTCACACAGCTGAATGTTGAGTGCAAACTGGTAGAAGCCAGTTTGACTTAGTGCTAAGTTGGGTTCTGCTGGAGAAGCTGAGAGCTTTGAGACCTGATGATAGGTGAACCACCATCTGAGGGGAAAACCTTATTTTTGATTACTGCAAAAGACAAGTTTTTGCTGACCCGGCGGAGTCTGATAAGACTGTTTTGAGACAGGAAGCCAAGTTGTCTCAGTGAGTCTACAAACCTCTACATAACCTCAGGGCAGATCTGAATCGTCTGGACCTTGGAGTCCAGCACACTGAGCCTTCACCTCAAATGAGATGATGTCTCCAGCTTTGGTGAGCTGATGAACTGTACCTAATTCAAGGCATTACATGTCAAGCATTTGCAGAACAGTTCTGGTTAAACAGGACCTTTGATATAATTCTTCTGATCTACAGTTCGATTAAATTAATGACCAAGACCATGAAACCTTCTCTCCAAATTGACAACAACTTATAGGTTTTAACCAGCGTTTCTTGTCAATTAATTAACAGAAGAAAATATTTCCTTTGGGAAAAATATATTTTTATTCTATAAAGGCTTTAACATCCAGACCACATCTTAACTAGATGTATAACATCAGGTCTACACTCCTTTTCATCTTTAACTCTTTTATAACCCTTGTTGCTTGTCTTTGTTGTTATTTTTATTGTTTTTAGTCATGATTCAAAGAAACTTATTCTTGCTATATTTTTGTAATAAATTACCATAAAAGACAAAGCTGGTTCTTCATCTTAGAGTAGTTTGGTCTGAGATAAGAATTCCCTGCATTTCATATAAATTTCACACTTCAGTAAATATGAGTCTGATTGAAAAGGGTGAATAAATGTTGGTCAATAAAGTGACCTGGTGCCCCAACTGCATGACCGGTTTCACCTGTTCCCCCATGTTTGCCTTGTATGTCTTCTTGAATGGGTGTTTCTTAACTTCCCCCTCCCCCCTCCCCTGAATGTACAGCACCTTGTGAATTTTTTTTCTGTGTGTAAATAAAACTTTACTTACTTACAGTATCTATCTGATTGGATTTGCCACCTTGAGATGTACCAGTGGACATTAAGGCAGATGGAAATTTGTTATTGTCTGCCTGACCAAAAACATTTTCTTCTGCCCCCCCCCCCCCCACCCCCACCCACCCATGTGGCCTTGAAGGCGGTTCTAATTTCTCCTGGTGTTTACGTTGACTTGAGGCTCCTCCCCCACCTCTCCCTTTCTTACTCCCTTTAATCTGATCTCCTGAAGGTAAACCTGGAGCTGCACAGAAAGCACAATTCAACACCAATATTCTCAACTAATGGCTGAACTACGGGTTTTTCTTTTGGGAGGCTGGGTTCTTCGGACTCATTCCCTCTAAACTCACTTATTCCTCTGGCTAATAAATGTGCTCTTGCTTGTTGGGTTTTTTCATAAACACCATAGTGTGTCACATTTCATTGATGTTTTGTTTTTTTCTCATCTAACCTTCTGTGTTTTTTTTCGTTTTTCTTTTTAAAGGTAGCGCGACCCCTGCTGGTGGCTGCATGACCTGATCACCTGTTTCCCCCATGTTTTTGTCATGTGTGTCTTCTTGAATGGGTGTTCTTAATGTAATTTCAATGTGCTCTGTACAATAACAATAAAGGCATCAACCGACCGACCGACCAACCGACCGACCAATCAATCAGTCAGTCAATCAATCAAAGTAGCCACTTTCTGCTTTGATTACTGCTTTGCACACTCTCTCACATTCTCTTGATGAGCTTCAACAGGTAGTCACCTGAAATGGTTTTCCAACAGTCTTGAAGTTGTTCCCAGAGATGCTTAGCACTTGTTGGCCCTTTTGCCTTCACTCTGCAGTCCAGCTCACCCCAAACCATCAGGATTGGGTTCAGGTCTGATGACTGTGGAGGCCAGGTCATCTGGCGCAGCACCCTATCCCTCTCCTTCTTGGTCAAATAGCCCTTACACAGCCTGGAGGTGTGTTTGGGGTCATTGTCTATATATTTATTTATTTATATATTTGTCTATATATTTATTTATTAGTATTTTTATTTCAAAACACTAACTTAGATTTTATTGAGCAGATGCATCATATAAAATTTAGAATAATTATAAATATTGGGGGAGGGTATCTTTTACAAGGCAATGTAGCTCATGATGCGTTCAGGTGTCACTGACCTCTTCTCTGATGAATTGTTGGACAGGACATCTGAGGACAAGTGTAGAAAATACTGAGTAACAGAAAAGTCATTTTAACAATAAAAACACAAACAATATGTTTAACTTTAAAAAGATTTTTAAAATATTCTGTAAAAAAAATAAGGGTTTATAAGTTAATCTTCAGTATCCTAAAATATTCACAAAAGTAAAGTTTAAAACTCAAGACATTCAGTCAGTTTCAAAATAACATCAGAAATATTTGACTTGAACAAATGATGCTTTGTTATAATTCAATAGAAAGAATGTGACTAAAATATCCAACTTTGATTAAGAAATTATAATAATTAAAAAATGTATTTTGGTTTTAATAAACCTACCCATCCATAGTTACAATTCTTTTATGAGAAATTACTACAGTAATAAATAATAAATAATTGGGTTTTTGTTGTTATTTTTCCTTTACTGTTCTGAAATACCAAATGAACACAAAATAAATGATTTTTTTCAGAAAGTAAAAATACTTTTCATGAATTTTTACATATTCCTTGATATTTATTTTAGTAGTTTTTTAGTTTTTGTTTGTTTTTATTTGTACTTGGTTTGATGAATCCTGTAGATTTTTGTTTTATTTCTCATAATTAGAAGTAAAAAGGTTGAATTATATTAAATAAAATGTATTCACTCAAATGTCCTGACAGATCTGGATCAGAACCAATGTGATAATAAAGAAACATTTTGTTGGTTGTTAAAAAGCTGCAGAAAAGAGATTTCTGATTCCAGGAGAATTCAGAACCAGAATCTGATCCAGAGGCAGCTCCTCTCTGTGAAAACAAAAAGTTATAAAATTTATATCAACAGAATTAGAAAACAATTTTAACTAAAGAGTAAATGTAGTAACTTTAGGGAAGAAAAAATATATAATAAACTTCCTAACCGTAATCAATTCAAAATGTTTTCCTTATTTTCACTCAACAATGAGCCAACAAAAGGGTCTGGTAACTAAACAAATGTTTACACTATTAAAACAATTAAGGTAAAATGTGTTCAAAATAATTTAAACAGATTTGAAAAAAAATACTACAAGGGGAACTGATAATGGTTTATCCTCATAATCCTCCTTCAACTTGATTTTACACTGACTAACTACACAACTTCAGAAAAGTTCCCACCAATCCTCAGCAGACATGATTCAGGAGAACTGGCTGTTAAGGACTAAACTGTTCTCCACCTCAATGACAAAAGATACTGTGCTGAAGGCTAACATGTTCACATTTTATACAGAGAAAACAGCTGGTTTGACAGGGGTTGTAGGAAGACATTAAACAAAACTAGAAAAAAACTATTAAACAGAGCAGCAGGTCTCAGATTCAGCTCTCTAAAACCTAAAATGTAGCATTAAGTCGGATACCCAGTCAGGATCCCTCGAATTTACACCTTTGTGCATGTGACCAAAACATCTCCCTGTGAGCCAGACTAACAAGAAGTCAAATGACCCTCAGGAGGGAGGAGAGAGAGCATCATCTGCAGGTGAGTTCAGAAAATGTTAGCTGCTTTATTCTACCTGACTCACCTGGAATCAACTTGTTTTACTGCGGTTGTTGTTGTCTGGAGGTGTGATGCCGTGGACTGGAGGCGGCTCCTCCTCTGATGCTGGGTCTAATGATCGGGGAGGAGGATGGATGCTGATGGTACTGATGCCCAGCTCTGACTGGTTTGGCTGTTGAGACCCAAGTAACACGAGAATCAGAATCACATTCATGTCGGCAAAGACTAGAAGTTGTGGTTCTTACCAATCTGAGCAGAGTGTCCTCTCCTTGAAATGTTCTTGGACTGGACTGCCTGTTTAATCCGGTCTACTTCCTGCTGGTACCGTTTGCGGTCCCTCACAGCTGACTCCTTGGTTGTCTTCAGGGCAGTTTCCAAAGTCTTTATTCGCTCTGCTGTGGCCCTCAACCTCCTGTCCAGCTTTGGCAGCTCACAGCGAAGGTCTGCATTATCTTGAACTAGCTGAGAAAAAAGGTTCGACCTGCTTATCAGGTCGGGGCTTAAAAAGACATGATGTTTTATCAAACATCTGGAGTTTTTACATCGGAGAAAATGAGTTATGAGTGTAATTATGGTTCTATCAAGTACTGAATGATCATTCTTGCTTATACAGGTAGAGTATTAATTACAACAGTCTTCTGTGACCTGCTGGTGAAGGACGTGACTCTACATAGACCCTCAACAAGGATTCCAAGGGCAAAGCAGTCTGGCAGTCATCTGGGATTCATGGAACCGTAGGTACACTCATAACTCTCATTCTATTTCATCCTCACTGACAGCTAGAAGTGGTGCTTCAAGCACTGAATGACTTATGTTAGAAAAGTCAGGAGGAATCTGCAAAATCCACAACATCTACCTCAGTGGGATGTAGGAGGATGCTGCTGCAGAATGCCTTGCAGGGGATGAGATGCAGCCATTTTCACCCTATAGAACAAAGGTGCTTGGTGACAATCAGGGGAGCACACTTCATATATTGTCCAGCAGCACCCAGTTTCCATGTACAAAAAATCTGATCAATAGCATTTAAAGACCAGCTGACCAGATCCATAATTTCTAGTTTGGATGATTTGTAAAGGAGGCTCCAAAATGCAGCAAAGCACGGTAGATAAGAGAAGGTTGAAGGGAGAGGGGAAAAGCATCTACCTTCACCAAGAGCAGAAGCAAAAAAAATCATCATGGACTGATGCTCCATCCAATTCAGCATTGCTGCGACCACAACCTGCCTGAGAAGACTGGAGGAGGGCCTTCATTTGGGCTAAGTTAGATGTGAGTTGACCCACCTTTGCAGATAATGTCCTTGTATTGGTCTGTCTGGCTCTCTTTGCAAAAACCGCTGTAGAAGGCTGCTTCCAACACACTGCTTGTCTTGGTGGCAAAAAGCTTTGTTAAACAGCACCAACACAATCAGTAGGTTGTTCCAGTGCAGTCAGTCAATCTAGTCTGACAACCCGGTGCATGACGCTACAGTTGGGGCACATGTTATCTAAGAATGCCTCTCTGAGATGTTCCACAAGGCATGAAGGACACAAGTCATGCCTGTCATCAGGCTGGAACAGAGCTAAATCATCAAGCATCATACTGCTACTACAGCATGAGGGACGTGATCAAACAGTCAAAAACAGGAAGCATCAACTTGAGCAGGAGACGCTACTGACAATGCAGTTGAACACCCCCCGCATAGAACCAGATTAAGGACTCAGCATGGGCAGGAATCAACACCGGTGAGCCCAATTACTACCCAAACATGACCAGACAATTAACAATTAGATAAGTCAACTCAARCAGAAGCACTACAGACAACTCTGTTGTTACACAACCCTCGTAGAGACAAACTGTGACAGTTTGTGAACCATGTACTTCAATAAACCCCCAAGCTGGCTGTCAATTCCTTGACTCCTGGTTTTTGATGAATAAACTGCAACTACAAAAGTAGTTTGTGCAGCTCCTGGAGGGCGAGACTCACCCGCAGCTCTGACCGTAAACGACCAGAAGGCTACTATCATCAAGCAACAAGAAAAATAGTGATAATGGCAGCAGCTATCACCTTAGCACAACCACACCTGCTCTCAGTAAATCTGTGTGCAAAACGTAAAAACCGATTGGGTGCCAGGTGTCACATGACTGTATAGTCACACAGGTCACAGGTGACTTTGTTGTAATTAATACTTGACCTGTGCTTGTGCAAGAATGATCATTCAGTTCTTAAAGCACTGCCTCTGGTGGTCAGTAGGGATAAAATAGAACTTCACCACAAACATATAAACATGCATAAAGACAAACAAACCCCTGAACCTTTCCTTTTAAATCTAATTAAATTGTGTTTTAATGTCTTTTAATTCATACAAACAAAATAATTAGTCTCTCATGATTAACCAAACATCACCTGTAATTAAGACAGTTTATTTTCCTATTATTCGTTTTAACACAGCCTGTTGTTCTTTATAACGTCTCTTTTTGATAAGTGGAATGCCCATTTAATGTAAACATGTTCAAAAACCAAAGCAGAAAATCTCTGTTCAACATCAGAACCACATCTGTAGAACTTATCTTTGAGAGGGTTAGGTTTGGTCAAGTCAGGATAGAAGAATAAAGTCCTGCTTTCTTAAACTTGCCAACTAATTTACTCCACAGATTAGTGTCACCTATGTCTCACCTGTTTGTGGACTTTACTGAGCTGCTCCAAGTTGTTTTCCAAGAAAATGATCCTCTGTCTCTGAGCCAGACTGCCGCCTGCCTCGTCGCTGTTGTTCTCTGAACTCTGTTCAACACAAAGAAGAAAACTTTAACTAAGCTATACATTTCTCAGATAAACAAACAATTTCCTGACAGGCTGCATGGGGCATCACAGTGCCTCAAAAACCACCCGGAGTCAAAAAACAAAAATGTTAAAGGAAGCAGAGTCCTCAATTCTCAGCTACAAGGCTTCATTTTATATTAAAGATCTCATTGTTACACAGTATCCTTATTAAGCACTTGGTTCTCTTGTGGAGCCAATTTCCAGGATCTGCCTGTGAATATGACACTGTCTACTTTTAAGACTAGATTGAAGACTTTCCTGTTGAATAAATCTTATAGTTAGCGTTGGGTGGGTTTCCTGAGATTTGTTTTATATTCCAGTTATGGTGGGGATGGTGCGCTGCTGTCCTTAACTTAGGACATTATGGGTTGGTGGGCAGAATACTTCGAAGACCTCCTCAATCCCACTGACACGTCTTCCCATGAGGAAGCAGAGCCTGAGGACCCTGAGTCGGACTCTCAAAATCTCTGGTGCTGAAGTCACTGAGGTGGGTAAAAAGCTCCTCGGTGGCAGGGCGCCGGGGGTGGATGAGATTCACCCGGAGTTCCTTAAGGCTCTAGATGTTGTGGGGTTGTGTTGGTTGATGTGACTCTACAATATTGTGAGGACATTGGGGGCAGTTCCTCTGGATTGGCAGACTGGGGTGGTGGKCCCCCTGTTTAAAAAGGGGGACCACAGAGTGTGTTCCAACTATAGGGGGTCACACTTTTAAGCCTCACTGGTAAGGTCTATTCAGGGATCCTGAGGAGGTCCAATAACAGATTCAGGAAGAGCAGTGTGGTTTTGGTCCTGGTCATGGAACACTGGACCAGCTCTACACCCTCAGCAGGGTCCTGGAGGGTGCATGGGAGTTCACTCAACCAGTCTACATGTGTTTTGTGGACTTGGAGAATAGATTCGACCATGTCCCTCGGGAAGTCCTGTGGGGGGTACTCCGGGAGTATTGGGTACCAGACCCTTTGATATGGACTGTTAGGTCCCTGTACGACCGGTGTCAGAGTTTGGTCTACATTGAAGGTAGAAAGTTAGGACTCATTTCCAGTGAGAGTTGGACTCCACCAAGGTTGTCCTTTGTCACAGATTCTGTTCATAACTTTTATGGACAGAATTTCTAGGAGCAGCCAAGATGTTGAGGGGATCCGTGATCACATCTCTGCTTTTTGTGGATGATGTGGTCCTATTGGCTTCATCAGATTGTGAGGTGAAGTTTTTGGGTGTAGTGACAGATGAAGGGCTGACATGGAGACCTCATACATTATTTAAGAACAGAGATGGCTGTATCTATTGGTGTTCTGTATATAGTAAGGGAGTTATTTAATGAAAAAGCACTGTAWATGTTGTATAATGCAATAATAGGTCCACATCTGGTTTATTGTATTGAAGTCTGGGGGAAAGCATGTTGGACAATTACAAAATCCTCTTTTTTATTACAGAAAAGAGCTGTGAGAATTATTACTGGAAAACATTGTTGTCACCCATAATTTTTTTTATTTTATAAATTGAAAATATTTAAGTTCTTTGATTTGGTGGATTATAATTTTTACTGGTTACCCGTGAATAATGGTAGGGGAAACGGTGCGATGCATGGCAGCCCCACCTCTGTCAGTGTGCCCCAGGGAAACTGTGGCTACAATGTAGTTTGCCATCATCAGTGTGTGAATGTGAGTTTGAATGGGTGAATGTCTGTAAGTGTAAAGCTCTTTGGGGTCTGGAGAGACTTGATAAAGCACTCTATAAGATTAGTCCATTTACCATCTACAGTCAGGAGCTTTGGGTAGTGACTGAAAGAAGGAGATCACAGATCCAAGCAGCTGAAATGAGTTTCCTCTGCAGGGTGTCTGGGCTCTCCCTTAGAGATAGGCTGAGAAGCTCAGTCATCCAGGAGGGACTCAGAGTAGAGCCGCTGCTCCTCCACGTCCAGAGGAGCCAGTTGAGGTGGTTCATCTGGTTAGGATGCCTCCTGGACTCCTCCCTGGTGAGGTGTTCTGGACACGTCCCACTGGGAGGAGACCCAGAGGAAGACCCAGGACACGCTGGAGGGACTATGTTTCTCAGCTGGTCTGGGAACGCCTTGGGATTCCCCCAGAGGAGCTGGTCCAAGTGTCTGGAGAGAGGGAGGTCTGGGTCTCTGCTGAGGCTGCTGCCCCCGAGACCTGACCCTGGATAAGAGGAAGAAAACGGACGGACGAGCAAACCTTTTGAGGAAATAAAACCATTTCTGTAACTGTCATTAAGACTTCTGCACCTATTAGCAGGTATTTTGGTCCATAGAGTTGAATTAACACTTGTCCCTATTTAAACACACCATGAATAAATATGGTGCTCATGTGTTATGCAACCGTGTTTGTCACATTTTAAGAACTGATCAGCCAGATTTTTCTTTCTTACTGAAGCATAATGTCTGAGTTAAAAAGAATTGAAGTTCAGTTGCTTTTTCTATTTTAATGTTTTTAGATTTTTTTACTTACATTCCTGACTCGAGAGCTGAGGTCTTGGATGAAAATTTTACGAAGATTGGTCAATGTCTGCAGCTCTTTGGTCTGTTGAATAAAACCAAATTAATACGCAGATTGAAGAACTTTAATCTCGATATTTTGACATTATGAGTATAAATATAACTCCTACCACAGTCTCCTCCAGACCCTTCAGGTCCTCTTTGGCTTGTTCCCTTTTATCATTCAGGAACCTAAAACCACACCAGCAGACTGATGAATAGAAGAAGCAGCAACATCTTCATCCAACGCAGGTAAGATTCATGCAGAAGTACTAAAAAAACATTCATTATCCACTGCTAATTTTCTCTATAGTCTGTATTGGTTGGTCTGTTTAACATTAGGTGGAGCTGATTCTACAAATGGTGACAAAAACACAAACCTTTTAAGAAATCCAACTAAAGGCCAGATGGTAAAAAATAATTAAAACAGAAGGAAAATGTGGCTTTTCAGTTTGACATGACTACCAGTTTACATTCAATTTCTTTTTGATATTGTTCATAAAATGTGGAAGGAAATAAACATTAAATATGCTTTTTTGTAACATAGAGAGACTACCTGTAAAACAATCTACATGTTCAAAAAAGTAAAAAAAAAATCAAAGCTATTAAAAAGTATGATTCAACGTAATGGAAATAAGTTATAAACGACACCTGATGTTTGTTTTTTGTGAATTTGGAGATTGTTCAGTGTTTGTTGTAAGTTTTTTATTCTATTTTTAAATAAGGGGCAGATATAAGATATTTTCTTCACTCTGCACCCTTTTCATTCAGATCTTTTTTTTGTGTTTATATTGTGTTTTTTCAGTGAAAAAAATCTTTAAATAAAACAAAGAAAGACATATGTTACGACTTCAACAAGCTAAAGGGGACAAACTTACTGAAGTTTCTGCAGTTTCTGCTCTTTGTTTTGATCCTCAGCTCTCAGTTTGTCGAAGTCCGACTGAATTTTTCTGTTTTCCAGATGCAGGGCCTGGTTCACACTGAGAAAACACAGGACAGAGCAGTAAACTTAAACCTGGGAGAACCAAGTAATCCCAGAAGAGGAAAAACAATTGGCCATCAGCTCATACTCTTTGAGGTGGTCAAAGTCTCTCTGTTTCTGCTCAATCTCATCTCGAAGTCGACTCAGCTGTTTCTGATGAACCTCTCTGTGGTTTTCCATCTGTTCCTCCAATGTTCTCTGTGGAATACAAACAACTTTAGGAATAATTCATGTTTCCTGCTTAGATATATCAGAACCTTATATGTTCTGAGCCAGCAGAGTGTTGACACAAACAGACTTCCTATCATTCTCCATGTTGATGATAATTGCCACACTGCTTTTGCCCCAATGCGGAGGTAAGGTGGCAAAATACACTTTAATCTAACCTAACCCTGGACCAAGAACATTTACTGTATGTGCCAAATCAACTGGCCTGTGTGAGTGACATTATTGCAAATATAAATTGTATAGTTCAAAATCTCTCTCACACAAACAGTTCAAGACTCTTCTGGAGGAGGAGGATTCACAGTACAAAGATGTATTTTACCCCCAAGAGGTGAGGTGGCTGAGTAACGGATAAGTCGTTAAAAGGGGTATGGATATTTCTCCTTTTTGTATCGAAAAAATATCGAACCGTGAGACTAAAGTATCGAACCAAACCGTGAATCTTCTGTATCGTTGCACCCCTAACATATATATATATA